AATCTTAAGGACAGATGGAGAATCCTGAAGAAAATGGAAGACTACTGAGCTGCTGGCGGCTTCTGCTTTTAGTATTTAAAGATCTTTAGAATTTAAGGTTTCAGTATTTAAGCTGTTCTGATGTCAGACACTTTTTGAAGATATATTCCTGACAGTGTGTCAGAGGTTTCTTTTTTTTTTTTTTTCTTTTTTGGTTAAATTTACATAATCCATTTCAAGGAATTGAACTGAAAGTTCTATTGTTATGCATGTAATTTCACAAAATAAGTTTGGAAGTCAGGAACGCCATTTTGTAAATTGAAAGTAAACTATTTAGCAGAAGTATTGCTGCTGAAAAAAAACAAATTAAAAAGCTTTCTGTTGCTGTTTGTTAGAACTGACCACATTTTTCCACTAGGGGTTGTAAGTGAGCTCAATTTTGCCTTTCATTTTGTTCTTGAGATCTTTCACAGAAAGAAAGAAAAAAGTTTGAAACAATACAACTGTAAAAACTAAAGAGCGTTTAATAAATGTATGTAAGTTTATTAGGATTAACCCCTTGAGATGTATCATCTTGTTTTCGAGGGTGTCCCAAAAACAACGTAACACAATCACAACTAAACAGATTAATAATACATCCATAAACAACACCAAACGACAAATCACTAACATTAATTAGAAAATAACACCACAAAATTGAAATAACAAATATGAAACAACATATACTGATCAGTGAATCCAATCAAATAGAAACCAAAAATATATATAAAGAAACAGTAACATCTTCAGTGATGGCATGTACAGACCAAAACAAAATATAATGAAGTTTGCTTAAACATCTTTAATGATGCAATAGTTTGAATATCTGCAGGTAAATTATTCCAGTCTGTTGGGGCTTTAAACATAAAAGCTCTTTTACCAATGTTTTTTTTTACACAAGGAACAAGTATGAACAGAACTTCATTTAAAGAAAAAGGTACAAGTTGTTGTAAATAACTAGGTTATTTAAAGTAAATACATTTGAATATAAATTGAAGCCAATGAAAGTCATCTTGTGTGCAAAGTTGGCCACTGGAGTGCATCATACATTAAACAATGAGTATAAAAAGAACATCCCAAAACCAATCTGCAAAATCTATTATAAACTGTATGAAGTGGAGCAAGATCTGATTTTGATGCAGTGTGATGAACAACATCACAATATTCAAGGATTGGGAGTTGAGAGACAAGTTTCTTATGAACACTATAAAAAAAAATGTAAAAAAAAAATACGAGATTGATGTAAAGTACTAATTCCAAAATTGATTTTATGTAGAACATGATTAATATGTCATTTAAAGGAAAGTTCGAAATCAAGCCATACACCAAGGTATTTAATAATATCAGCTTTATGCAAAGGAGTACTGTCTTTACATGATACAACACAATAACAGATTTTGGATTTAAGTTTCTTTCTAGAACCGAAAATCATAATATAAGACTTGTATAATATAAGATTTTGCACTGATTTATTATCCAAAAACCAATTGTGAAAATATTAAAATAATACTGAAGAGAGAACTGAATTTGTAAAATATCAGAATTAGATACATGACAGTGTCATCAGCATAAATTTAAACATTACAATTATTGAAAATGAAATGAAAACTAGAAAAAAGAAGGGGTCCCAACATTGAACCACCTCTGTTGAACCAAAAAAAATCAGATTTATTCCCATTTTGTTATGCAACTATGAATTAAACCACATAATTGCATTTTAAGAAAGACCAAAAGCATGAAGTTTATCTAAAAGTAAGTATCGATCAACTAAATCAAAAATCTTTAGATAAATTAAGAAAAATTGCACATGTGAGTTTACCATCAGCAGCAGCTGAAAACGCATCATTAGTGAACTTAAGTAATGCAGTGGTTGCAGAATGATTGGACCTAAAGCCGGATTGATATGGTGATAAAATATTATTAATACATACTGTAAGTAATTTGGAAGTTGCTTATATATTAATTTTTTAAAAACATTTAGATATAGAACATATAACAGATATAGGTCTGTAATTATTGAGATCAAGAACATCACCTCCCTTGTAAAGTGGAGTAATACGTGCTTATTTCCAGATAGCAGGTAACTCACATGTTGACAAAGACAAGTTCAATAAATCAGCGAGTGGATAAACAAGAATGTGAGAAGATGATTTAAGAAACTTATTTTCAATACCATCCAATTCAACACCACTAGTCCCACTTAATTCATTAATAGCATTCTGAACTTCAATAGGCAAAATCTTCCTAAATTGAAAAGAACTACTACACGATAAAGTATCATATATAGTACCAGCATTCAAATAAGAATCAGATACTAAAGTAGAACAGACGAAAAATGCTGATGAAATGAATGAGCTAGATAAAGAGTCATGTAATATTGTATTATTAACTCTAATTTGGTTAATTAAATGGTTATCTGAAGCACTAAATATGTTTTTGATTTTATTCCAAAAATACTTAAGAGTTCTTACAATTATAGGAAAGACATTTTTTATAGTAATTAGATTTTTCATTAGTTACTTTTGCCTAATAAATTTCTCAAATGACTATATACTTCCTAATCGGCGTTACTTCTTGTCTGATGAAATACTGACCATGCCCTTTACTTACAAAGACTAATAAGTTCAGAATTAATCCAAGAAAGATGATTACCCCTAACCCTAATATTCTTCCAGGGAGCATGTTTGTCCACAACATTAATGAACTCAGTATATATATTTTTAAAAAATCCCAAGCATATTGTACATTAGGAATTAAATGATATCTATCCCCATTAATAGAAATCAAATCATCAATAAATACATTTAAATTCAATGTTTTAATTTACCTAGATGGAGATTTAGGTAATATAATTTTCCATACACAAAATAAAATAGAATGATCACTAAAGCAGTCAGTCATTACACCTACCCTTAAAAATCGATTAGGATGTGAAACAAGCATTCAATCAAGAAGGGACTGTGTTCGAGCAGTAACTCTAGTATAGGCTCAGTAATTAGTTGGGTAAGATTTAAACTATTAAAGGGTTAGTTCGCCCAAAAATGAAAATTAGCCCATAAATTACTCACCCTCATGGCATCCTAGGTGTATATGACTTTCTTCTTTCAGACGAATCCAGTCGGAGTTATATTAAAAATTGTCTTTGATCTTTCAAGCTGTTTAATGGCACTCAGTGGGTGTTGCAGTTCATCAGTCCAAAAGAAGTTAAATAAAAAGCACACATCCATAAGTGCCTCACACGGCTGCGGGGGGTGAACAAAGTCCGTTTTATATTTAAAACGTAATAATCAATTTTATCTAGCTTGCGCTCACTGTTGTAAACGGAAGCAGTTCCGGGTGGATGACGAACGCGGAAGCGCAGGGGAGAGATCAAAACAAAACAACGGTCACGAATTAGAAGTACAAAATGAGGATTTGTAAAGAAGAATGTCAGAGGATTTCGATATAAGCCAAGAGGAGAGACTGGTTTTCCTTTGCTAAAGTAAGGAAACTTTGCTTCCTTTGATCCTGTAAACAAACGTTGGTTTTCACGA